AGGAATCGCTCCTCTGCGCCTGGGATTTCGTACGGGAGCTCTGATGGCGCGGGAGTTGGGCGATTTGCAAGCTGGTTGCAGCTGTGGCGATGAGAACTATGCAATGCTTTTTCTCAGACACAAACATTTCCTTTTCACCTCCCGTTTTCCCCATGGATCACTGCACCAGTTCATAGCCCGGGGGGATCCCTCTCGCCCCCCCTGCCCCGCGGCGAGGGGCAAGCGGCCGCGGGCGATGTCCGATGGCCTCGGAGGTGGCAGAGCGGGCAGCAGGGGCTGATGGAGAGGGGGTCACGTGCAGGAAGGCGAGCGCTGCGGGCAGCATCATGGCACAGCTTGCCCATCCCTGCATCCTCGGCTGCCTTCTCCATCCTTCACCTTGCGCCAGCCCCCGGTGGTACCCGGGTCCCGTTATGGCGTGGGGCCGAGCCAGGCACGCAGCCTGTTCCCTACAACCCCTGCAAAGCAGGAGCGGAGCAGGGAGGCCGGGCAGCCCGGCTCATGCTGGCACATGGATGGAGGAGGGAGTGGATCAGTGTTGGACCTTGTCTTACCAAACTGGATGATGACACCGCACCCCGGCTTGCAGCAGCAGCTCCTCCGAGCTGCCGGTGGCAGGTGGGGCCCTGCCCCGGGTCCGGTCCCTCCTGAAGCAACAGCAGCCGGGGTTACGTCATCCCTGGGCAGCCCGAAGATGGTCGGGATGGAGCCGGGCACGCCGGGGTGGCATGGATCCAGAGGGGCCACGTGCGGGAGGAAGCGCTGTGCCAGAGCGGGGCTGCCCACGCAGCAGGGGAGGGAAAACCCACAGCGGGAGCGAGCCACTGAGGCCAGCACAGGACCGCCCGTCTCTTGCCTTCTCCTAAGGGGTGCTTTGACCAAAAAACATGAGCAGAGAGATGAGAAACCCCTGGTCGGATGAGGCAACGGGCAGGTCGCCCCCACTCCAGCGCCAGCCGGGGCAGGCGAGGCCGTTCCCAAATGTCCTGAAGTCGAGCCAAGCGCCTGGTCTTTAACTGCGCTCCCACTACGGGATGAATGTGCTTACAGTAATCCCGTGATTTACGGCTCTTTATCCTCTGCTCCTCCTCGGGAGCCGGCCCCAGTGTTACTCCTGCCTTTCCCACCCAGTTTCTCGAGGGGTTGCCGGAGTCAAAACCAAGACGAAATGTTTCACCCTAAAACACGTGAAAGGAGAAGTTTCTCAGCAGTGGCAGCATCACGTGGAGGGGACTGCCCCAGGCTCCAGCTCCTCTGGATCCATCCTTGCGGAGGGATGGATGGAGAGGGGGCGGGAGGAGCCCACCCGGAGACCTCACACCATCTCATGCTGCCTTTCTCTGCCCAAAGCCCCCAGTTTGGAAAGAAACCCCATGCATTTCCTGCAGGGAAACCTCAGGGACAGATTTATTTCCAGTGCTTTGTCCCGTGCAGAGCTGGGCACCATCCCGCTGCTGCCACGGGTGGCAGGGCACCCATCCCTCCGGCAGCCGGTCAGGGAACACACTCGGATGAGCCCCCCCGAACATTATCCCACGGGGAGCTGGTCTGAGCTCTGGCTTCTCAGCTGGTGCTTTTGGTCCAGCTGGAGCTGTGGGCTCCTTCAGGAGTTGCCAAGAGCACCAAGCCCCTCTGTGATCCCCTCCCCTGGGGGTTTCATCAGCTGGGGTGGTCATAATCCTTCAGCCCCCCAGTTCAAGGAAGAAGGGAGAGGGAGCATCACCCCAGGAGGACCACAAACCTCTGGGTAATGCCCCAGGGCAGAACCATCACACCACCTGCCCCCGCCCCGAGCTTCTCCGGGTCCCTGGCAGGCACCAGCCCAGCCACCAGCACCCTCCACCATCTGTCGGGTACCAAATGCGCTTGTCCAAAGCCAAATTGGAGCCGTGCGAGTGTCTGGGTGCAGGAAGAGGCCCTGACCCGCCAGCAATCACATTGCCCAGCCCTTGAGCAAGACCCAGCAAACCCCTAAATCCTGAAGTTCTGCTTTTGCAATGAATTGTCTAACTGTGGGCGCGATGCGTGGTACGAGCCCCATCCACAAGTGACGCACGGTGGCTCATGCTCAGAGAGCATCAAAGTTTGCCGAAGCCGGATGTTTTCCCCCCAAAAGGCGCCAGGCGTGGAAGTCGGAGATTTACAGTCCGGCAACAGCCATAAAACTTGTGTTTTAAGAGCAGTGGTTGTGAATGCCAAGCGACCCGTTATGAAATGTCCCAGCGTGTCCTCACCAGCCTGCAAGATGCGATTGCACAGCCTCAGCTCCGTGCATAAACAGCATCCCACGTTTCCTCCGGTCCCCGGTCCCCTCCGCGACGTTAGCGCATCGTCTTTTGCAACAGAAGATCAGATTTATCCGACGCTCCTCCGCATGTAGTGAACAGGAGGGAAACTGGAAATTTTGGTGATGAAAGCGTTGCATGGAGTGGGGCGGGGGGGCAGCAGCTGGAAAGGCTGCTAGGAAGCCCAGCGAAAGCTCAGAGCATGCACTGCTGAGCCTGGAACGATGTAAATAAACTTTTGGCCTTCTCTCCCCCTCTAGACCCGAGGTGGTTGGCAGGGAGCACGGCGGGGGGCGTGGCAGGATGTTTCTGTCCACCCCCCCGGCTCC